CAGTGGCTGTCCCTTCACATACCTGCCTGTGCTTATCATGGGCAACATTCCCACTGTGTCAGCACTTGAACCATAAGGAATAGCTGTGTTTTCCAAGGAATGTCCATTGCTATTAGTCCTACTTTACTGATAGAGAAATATCCTTCTTTTCAAGGATTTGCAGGCAGAATGAAGGCTGGCATCCAGATCCCACATTATTAAAAATGAATAAAATCTGCTCTTCTTCCTCAAACTTCCACAAAACCGACCCTTTGGGAAGTTCTGCACTGACTGAAAATCTTTGGCATTTGCAGGTGGACTGGAGCAAGTTTATTGCAGTGAATGGGGCCACAGCTCATCCCCACTACGAGTCTGATGGGACAACCTACAACATGGGCAATTCCTATGGGAAGCACGGTAAGGTGGGCATGGCCAGGCTGGATTTTTGGGCAGGATGTGCAGGATACCTCCTGCCAGGCTGGATTTTTGGGCAGGCTGTACAGGATATCTCCTGCCAGGCTGGATTTTTGGGCAGGCTGTACAGGATACCTTCTGGTGTTGCTTCAAGGAGCAGCTGTTGAAGAAACACCCAAAGAGACCTGGAATTTGCTGTCCCTGAGTCAAAATGTCAGTGTCTGTCCCATAAAACTGGCTCCTCTCAGCATTTAGTTTCAGATGCTTCTGACTTTGGCCTGTGAATATCCAGCAGATTGTCCTCTTCCTCTCCCAAGCTTTGCTGGAAAACAGTAGAATGATTTTTTAAAGTCTCATCCAATGTTGAAGCATCATCTGAAGAAATTTAGCAGTTAGTCCACATGTTTTTCACTTACAATAATTGGCTTTTAATGAGCACCATATGAGTTTTTGGAGGAGATAAAATAGAATTTATTCTGGTAATCTGGCTATCTTACAGCAAAGATGAGTTTTATGGGATATTTTTCTTCTTCTCAGAACTCTGAGCATCTTGATAGGATCCTGTTCCATCCACGTGGCTGCCCAGAGCTATCAGTCCCTGTCAGCTCTGTGAAATCCTTCTTTTCCAGTGGCCTCTGAAAACAACCACTGCCCTTTATTGTGACCCTTTAGGACAGCTCCACATTTTCCCAGTTTTGACCATTTTTCATTCTTGCTGTTTTCATTTCCTCTTGGCCTCAGCAAAGTCCAGCTCTGTACCACATGCTTTTTTCAGCTGGATATACCAAACTCTAGATCATTATTAATCAGAAGTGCCATCCTTTCCTGCTCATCTGCTCAGGCTTATTAAACGAGCATTACTAAGGCACAGAGTTTTCATTTCCTGTGAGCTTGGTTTTCATCCTGCCCCTGCTGTTACAGGAGAGCACTTCAGGCAGAGCTGGCACTCTCCCAGACTGACAAGATTCCTTTCAATCTCCCTTTTTTTGTTTTTCTTTTGGTAGACAAATCCTCTGCAGAATGCTTTGCTGCCTGTTGGGTTTCTGCCCAGTTTAGGAGAGGTGGTTCCGAGTATTCCTGGGGAATAGGAAGGAGCAGAGCCTGAGTTTGCTTTGAACCCCTTTTCCCCTTTCCAGGATCCAGCTACAACATCATCAGGGTTCCCCCACAGGAGTCAGCCCACGGGAACACGTTGGAGGGGGCCAAAGTGCTGTGCTCCATCCCTCCCAGGGACAGGGCAAAGCCATCCTACTACCACAGCTTTGGTAAGATTCCACCCCAAACCCGGGGAATTTGGGGAAATGCGATGCAGAAAGGGCTGGCCAGTTCTCTCTGCCCTTGAGATGTTTTCTTGCCTCCTATTTGGGTGATATCCCTTCCTTCTCTCCTCAGGCATGACTGAAAACTACATCATTTTCATCGAGCAGCCCCTCAAGCTGAACCTGTTGAAGATCATCACCTCCAAGATCCGTGGGAAAACCATCTATGATGGGATAACCTGGGAGCCTCAGCACAACACCTACTTCCACGTGGTGAACAAGCACACTGGGGAGGTGAGGGGGTCTTTGGCCCCTCCAGCAGCTAATCTGGAACTTTAGTTCCAAATTTACAATTTTTTTTTCCCAATTTTTTTGGGAACATTTGTTCCCAAAAGTGCTACATAGCAGCCATGGCGAGTTTAAGAATCAAACCAGAAGTTACTGCAAAAAACACTTCAAAGCAGGGGTGTAGATTGGTTAAAAATGGGATTTCTTCATGCGTTTTCCTCTTTATTCATTCATTTCTTTGCCAGCCCTAAAAGGACAGGCAGAAAGAAGCAGTTTAGAGCTCAGGGGCTGAAGTGAGTCCCAGGTACTACAGGGTGTAAAAAGGTCAGAACCTGGAAAAGATGCACACCAAGGGGCTACTTAGCATTTTGGGCTTCTCATTTCCAATTTTGCTCCTTACTGGCTTGAAGTAAGGCGTTACCACTTCTTTTGTGTAACACAAGGACAGAAGGCAATGAGAGGGGTTGAAATGGGGGGCAGAGAGGAGAAAGCCGTGTGAGGTGAGGCAGAGCTGTGCTCCCTGCAGGTGCTGCCGGGCTCTTGGTGCTCCGAGCCCTTCCTGAGCTTCCACCAGATCAACGCCTTCGAGGAGCGTGGCTGCGTGGTGCTGGACCTGTGCTGCCAGGACCAGGGCTCCAGCCTGGCCCTCTACACGCTGCAGAACATGAGGAGGAGCGGGGAAGGGCTGGACCAGGTGAGAGCCCTGCCTCTGCTGCTCTGCTGCCCCTGCGGGAGATGCTTTCCTGCAGCAAAGCTCAGCTGGGTAGAACGGAGAGCGCTGTGGGGACAGCACGAGCACAGCTCCGTGGATACTGAAATGATCATGATTTATTAAAAAAATATGGGTATTGATCTAGTACTGATATCCAACTGTGAGGGACAAAAACTCTCTAACAGTTTAAAGTTAGAAAGTGTGTGTTTACTGTGTGTGGGATCGCTCCCAAGTCCACACCGCAGCTTCCAGGTGATTACAGAGCCCTTTTATCCATACAAGTATTGAATATTTAAAATATAAATACACATTCATCATTTTGGTACATCCCATTCCTCACTTCCTATGCTAATCATTTTAAAAGCTATTCAGCATGAAGTTTGTTCCTTGAAATGGGTCGGTGTCCCTTCCATGGGGAGGGGTCCCAAAATGAGGAAGTCAATGAAGTCTTCCTCCTTCTGACCTTTCCACCTTTCCAATGCCAATATGACAAATGAACTCTTGGTAGAACTCCCATTCCTTGTCTTCAGTTGGTTTCAGAGCAGAGGAGGCCACAATTGTCTGATGTTCCTAAAAGCAATTTATCAGTTTATATTCTTCATTATAAACCCAGCTAACTCAACATTGTGCTGACAAGCAATCAGTTATTAGTTAACTACTAACTCCTAACTTCATCAAGGCCTATTCATTTATTTTAATTAACTCTAGTAATGCTTATTTCTAACTAAAATCTTAGCTCCTCTAAAATCTCTAAATTCCTTAAAATTTATGTTTCGGTCATCTCTTGGTGCTTTATCTCCTTTTAAATCTCTCCCCATGGAGCATGCCTTTAAACTCTTCAAGCTCTGTGTGTAACACTGAGCTCCATAGCATGGAAGAATTTATTTCTGTTTTAAAACCTTGGTTTTAATGACATTCGTTTTCCTTATCCTGGTGTAATACAATTTTCCCCCAAGAAATTATGCAAAATAAGTTGTAGCATGATTTCTAAATGGAAAAAAAAAAAAAAAAAAAGGAACCCTGTTATTGAAGACATTAGTTCAGCAAAGGAGCAGTTTTTATGAAAATCACAGAAACACAAATACCACAGAAACCCCTGCACTGTTCCCCACAGGCACCTCACAACAGCACGTTCAAATAAATGATTTATTGTGTCCAGCTCTGGGAAAAGCCCCGTTCCAGGCCATGTGAGGGGCATTATTTTGCATAGGTCCCAGATGGGAAAAGTGGGGGTGCTCTCAGTTTCTCACCCTGCAGATGTGTTTGCTGGAAACCCAGCGTGCTGGGGGGGCTGCTGCGTGTCCAGACAGGGCTGAACTTCCTCTCTCTGTGTCCTGAACTGTCTGGAACCAACTCAGCTCCGACCTGAGAGGCACAGCTGTGTCCCATCGGTTCTGCTTTCTCTTGGCATTCATTTTGGCCTTCTTTCCAGCATTTTCTGAGCATCTTCAAGTACAGCGGAGTGTTAATCCCAGCTTTTTTTTTTTGTCCTTCTCTGAGCACGACAATTCCTTCTCTGGAATTTGATGTGGCTGAAGGTGTCCTGGTGTCAACACTGGGCCTGTGTTTCCAGCAGGCATGTTCTTCAAGTGACAAGTGGCATCAGCAGCACACTTCACCCACACCCACCCAGAGGAGACATTTCAGAACAGAATCTCAAACTTCACTGCATCAAAAGCCTCAGGAGTGTCTGGGCATGGCTTGTCTCCTTTCCCCACATTTGCTGACTCACTTACCCTTTGTCTGGCAGAGTTCCTCAGCCAGGTTACATGAGCCAGAAAAGTTTTGAAAGCAGGGTTTCAGGATTAATACGTGTGATTAAAGTGGAGTTCACAACTGAACAGGTGAGTTGTGGATTGAGGTAACTGGAAGATACCAAAACAGAGTCCTCATCTATTTTACTTAAATAGGAATATGCTGGGTTATAAACTTGGCTTCAGCAGAGCTTTGGTGGCAGTGGTGGAATTATTCTCTCAATGTGCTGAGTGTCTGCCACACTGGGGGCTGTACATCATTCCCCTGGGCTTCCAGCCATGAATCCACGTGTACCTGAGCATGGAAGAGGGAATCCTGCAGGGGAACTGCAGGCACTGAAGGCACAGTGCTCTCCAGCTTCTCCACAGAGTGATGTAAAGCAACAGAAACGTGTTCCAACTAAATAAAACATAGTGCAGTGTCTGTCCCACTGCTGGATTTGGAGATAATGGGCTGCTTTGCATACCCAGCTCGGCATTAATTACTGTGAGAGCACTGCTGACCCTTCTAATTCTTGTGGTTTTGGTTTCTGCTGTAAATTACTGGAACATGAAGAAACTTCTTCTTTCCATTATGTGCTTTACCTTACCAGAACTTGGTCAAACACTTAAGGAAAAGAAGAAGAAGAATTCAGGGGTGTCTAAAACTGCAGAAATGTTCCCCAAAAGTGCATTTAGGCTGAAATGTCTGTCCTCTCTCCATCACCATCACTTTCTGTCTCTGTAACAGGTTTATGCCTCCATCCCCAGAGCTTTCCCTCGCCGCTTTGTTCTCCCTCTGCACGTGGATTCAGACACACCCGTGGGGAAAAACCTGAACCCACTGCCTTACACCCAGGCAAAGGCTGTGAAAGGTGCAGATGGCAAGGTGTGTATCAAACCACAAATGCATTTGTGCAGCAGCTCCTGCCCTGTGCCTCAGAGCTTTAACCACTTTTGGTCGTGTGGTGGCTGGTGGCACCAGCCCTGTCCGAGCTGAACCATGCCTGCTGTAATTTCTGCACGTTTCTCCCAGGTCTGGTGCACACACGAAAATCTCCACCCTGAGGGCTTTGAGGAAGTTGGGGGCCTGGAGTTCCCCCAGATCAATTACGCACGCTACAACGGCAGGAGGTACCGCTACTTCTACGGCTGCGGATTCGGGCACCTCGTTGGGGATTCCTTGATCAAGGTGGATGTGGAGACCAAGAATTTCAAGGTGAGCTGAAGTCAGCTCATCGAGTCCTTCCCCTGAACTGGATTTGAAGGTGTGACATTTACTGGGGGTTCTGGGGCTTTGCCCACATGGGTCTGGGATGTGGTTCCCAATTTCATCCCTCACCTGGCACCTTCTGAACGTGGCACAGTCACCAAACAGGAGGGCATGGCACCATGACACTCCTGGAATGCAAAAAAGTTAATCAAAAGTTGAACTCTTCAGTTTCTTGGAGCACAGAGTATTTCCAGGTGCCTTTGTGGGGAGCACTTGCAACTCTGCTCACTGTATAGACAAGTATTAATGAAATGGAACTCATCCATCTGTCCCTGGAACTGATCCATATGTTGCTGTGCTTGCTAGATTTGGCAGGAGGAGGGATCCTACCCATCGGAGCCTGTGTTTGTGCCAGTGCCTAACGCCACGGCAGAGGACAGCGGAGTCATCTTGTCTGTGGTGGTCTCCCCCGCTGAGGTAACTTGCTGGCAGCAGTTTGTCAAAGTCACACAGCATGAATTCACTTTTTAAACCTCAAAGCTGAGCTGGAGGCCCCCTGGCAGGTAGTTCTGGCTCCCCAGAGTGGCTGGCCCTGCCCTGGCCAAGCCCAGGCTGTGCAGGGAGGAGCTGTCCCCTGAATGTCAGCATGTCCTGAGTGGAACCTGTGAGTCTGAGCTCTGCTGCCCTGCAGGGCTGCTCTCCATGGCCTGCTTCGTGTGCAAACAGGGGAGAGAAGCTCAGCCTGGACACTCACTCTGCCTTTCTGCTCCTCCTGCAGAACCAAAGTGCTTTCCTGCTCGTCCTGGATGCAGAGACCTTCCGGGAACTGGGGCGAGCAGAAGTCGGGGTGCCAGTGCCTTACGGGTTCCACGGCATCTTCGCTGCCCACTGAGGAGCTCCTGGGCACCTCCTGGGACTCAGGGCTGAGCCAGCCTCAGAAAGAACCTCTGCTGCTTTCACCTCCCGCCTTTCCATCACGTCTGGGATGCAGGAGCTGCTTTTTCTCCACCACAACCTCCTGTATTCCTAACAAAACACAGCCAAGGAAGGCAAAAGCCCCTTTGCTCCCACAGCCCACTGCTTTATCTACATTTTTTTTTTTACTATCTTGCTAGACCAGCTATAGCAGCAGTTCACAAAGGATGCCAGGGTGAGGCTTGCAAGGGAAAAAATGGAAACTGAGGTGATCAACCCTTTCCTTTGGTGCTCTGAGGAGAAGAGAACATCAATACTCAGGACTGTGACTTTGGCTGAAATACGTAAAGCAGAAGAGAGGAATAAAACCCATCAGGTGACAGGTGGGCCCAGTGAAGGGGAGTAAATCCCCCTCCCTTGCATCAAGGTTGCCTTCAGAGGACTCCAGGGGATAGATGCAGACACTCACAGAAGCTGTGCTTGTGCTTTTTTCTGTACCATAGCAGTGCCCTCAAATAAAACCTTGGGAACTTTTTCCTTTCTCTCCCTGCCCTCGCACAGTCTTGTAGATGTGAGGGACACATCTCCAGAGCAGGGCACAGCTCTGCTGGCTGACAGCTCCAAGTTCAGCCAGTAGGAAACACCAGTAGGGAACACGGAGAGCTCCTCTGTGGCCTTGGTGTCCTTCTGGGGTTAAACAGAGCAGAACAAACTCCAGGAGCCCCCTGTGTCATCCAGGCTTCTCCAGCTGCTGGGGTGTAGCTGGGTGGGTGAGCAGTGAACACTTCCAGTTCTATTTCTGAGAAGCCTGAAGAATTATTTGAATAATTTCCTTGAGTAACAAAGGAGCCCTTTCGCCCTTGGGGCTCTTCCTCCTCTGAGCTTCCTTCACCTTCCTTACAGGTCTTGGGAAAAGAAAAAGGATTTTACCGGGGGCTGCTGCTCTGGGAGAGGCGCAGGAGGCTCAGCCGAGCTGCTCGGAGCCACTAGATGGCAAACAGCTCCCGTTGCTGCCGTTCCAGCCCTGCCCTGCAGGACATTGTCACCTTGTCTGGCCATTGTCACATCCTGCCCTCCTCCTGCAGCCCGTCCCCCCAGCACCGGCAGCAGAACGATGCTGAGGTGTTTAATGCAGTTCAGGCACCATCGGTTCT